TATTTTTGGCCGTCTCTTATCTGCAAGTGCTTTCACTCTCACTCCCAAAACCCTAGCTCCTAATATCAAATATATAGGATGCTATAGGTATTATGAATGATATTTAATTTCGAAATTAATCCTAAATTAATTCTGAAATTAATACAATATCAAATATTGCCTAATCAGATAAGAGAACAATTAAATAAATATGGTTATATTAAATCCGTCTCACAGATTTAATTCACCTATTTATTTAATTCAAAATAAAGATATGATGGAATTAATTTATATAGATCTAATTTATCCTTATAAATTAAATCTAACAATTAATATCTCTTATATTTATATAATATGTATATATATATACGAATTTATATATATATATATACACGTCCACCCTATATTATTTATTGAATCTGGACATATCTTAGATTCAATGAATCTAGACATCATAACTCGTGTTGGGCTATTTTGTGTGCGACCTTGTAGGCCCATATGAAATTGGCAGTGGGCCATTAACTATAATGACTCACAAGTCGTAAGCGGTCTCTAGCAAGACATCACGACTACCCAAATCATATGAGGATCATTGAACGATGTAACCTTTCATACAACCATATCACGTCCCTTTTGTCACATGAAATTTTGGTCATGGATGAGGCATGGAGAACGTCATCCTCCTATTCATGACCGTTACTTTCTCGATCCCTGAGTAGTCTGAGTATAGAAACGGAACTACCTTTCCATTATAGTATGGCCATACATTTCTCAGACTCACTCATCGAGGGGCCCAGTAATATCTCTCTACGAATGTGAGGGACAAATTCCATGTTGACCATTCACATTCCTTTGCATGAAAAACCACTAAGCCTAAACATAGTCTTTATGATCACTCAGTCAAAAGTGACTTTTGACTAGGTTAAAGCTGAGTGTTTCTCATGTAGGAATCCATGACGATCTCAGGTCAAAGGGCACAGTGACATGGTTTGTATATGAGAGAAGCTTATGACTTAACCCATGCAGCTCTCTCATAGCGGGTTGGTCCAACACCTTGTACTCTTACATGTGCTATGACTTTAATTTATATCTCTATATATCTTTAAAGTCATACTGGTCTTATTTCATCTCTGCTCCCACATAGATGACCGACCAGAGACATTTAGGATAAATCATGAGTTATCCAAGGATAGTCATCACAGTAAACATGCAAATAATATGATAACATAATTAATAAATTCATAAATCAACAATGTTCATAACACAATGATTGGCCCCTAGGGCAAAATTTCCAACAAATGTTATGTTATATGATGTTGCCTCCATGCAAATTACGCCTTGGCTTATGCTATGTTGAGTGCCATGAATGTTTATGATGATATGTTCTTGCCATAGCATGAACATAAAGTTAAAGTATGCATGCATGTAGGTTGATTTACAATGTATTGTGTGACCTTGATAATGTATGCAATCGCTACTAAGATTCCCCAAGAATCTTACCCCAATATTTAAACAAACCCTAGGGCCTTCAACAACCAAGGACAAAGGAAAGGAGTTGGCTCTTATATGAAGAGGTAATAAGCCATAGTGACTTTATATGGCTTTGAACCTTTCGATTTTGGAGGAATGTAATATTAAGCATGCTTTAAGTTTTCAATATTATGACTAAGGTTAGAAGCATACAAGCATGATTAGAAATAGCTAATATAGCTAATGAGAGTATGTTATGATGGCAAATAGTCAATTAAGTTAAGTTACTCTTCCATAAGGGGTAAAAAGTCAACTAAAAAGGATTAAAGTTTGACCAATGACCATTTGAGTAAATGATAACCTCTTCAAATTCCTACTTATTCAACTTGTTTTAGCGCTCTTTTATTTGGTTTGGAAGTCAATTTTGCAGGAAAAAAGCCTGAAGCGAGTAAGGAATAGAGACTAGAAGTGGAGAGCTGAAAAGAGACCATTCGCTGCAGCGCATGGGAATAAGTGCCACGATAGCTCTAACAGAGAGGAAGGAGTGCACTTCTATGTGAGCCCTCGCGGCTCTTGACTATATCCGCCGCGGCACCCAAGCTGTCCCAAAGGAGTCCCTGTTCGATGTAATCCGCTACGGCCTATGATCACATGTGCTGCAGCGCCAAAGCTACTCGCACAAAGCCATTCTGTATAATCCGCCGCGGCGGATGACCACATCGGCCGGGACGCCTGACCCCTCGCAGCTGTGCGTTTTATGATGCAACTTAAAAATTAGGGCATATAGTGGGGGAGACTCAGTTTTCTGGGGACACTTCGACTTTGGGGTGATTTTGGAGGCTTGCTCTACTAGGGTTTGGAGCTTTGGAGGCTTGGAATCTTTGGGCTCAAAGCTAGAAGAGATTCAAAGCTTGTTACTTGATTTTTTTGGGTTTCCTTCTTCTTCCCTTCTTGTTTCTGTAATGACTATTGACTATTCTTATAGTTGTAGTTTTTTACTCAACATGTATAGCTAAATCAATTTTTCTAGGGTTATTTTGATCTATTATATGGATTGAGACTTGCTTTTACTATCTCTTGAGTATTAATGGTAATGTTTAGTTGTTTTTACCTTGAGCTTAATGCTTCCTTATGTATGGCCATTATTTGGATTGATTGTTTGATTACTTTAACTTGAGAAAGTAAGTTAATTTGTGAACTTTGGTAAAAACGTGCTAGTCTAGAAATTTAACTAAGTAAATAGACGGTTTGTTGATAGAACAGAGATGTATCTGTTAACCTAGCATAGACTAAATGGGTTTTGGTTTTCAAAGTGCAACCTTTTCAAACAAATGCATGAGATTGCTATGTTTTATTGTGATTACAAACATTTGGTTTTGACTCGAGAAAGCTTAATCAATTCTGCGAACCCCGGCTAACTGAACTTATTGTTAAGCACTACTTGAGAAGTGATTAATCTAGTTTTATGAATTATTTTAGTGAAGAATAACCCTAGTCTCTTAATTGTTCCAAAGTCAAGTTGATTTTATACTACCTTAAATCATTGCTTTCCTAATTTTATCTCACAAACTCTTTTACAACATTTGTCTCACTTAACCTAATCAAGAACACAATCATGATTTTTAACTCATCTAGCCTTAGTCTTTGAGGGAATGGTACTTTTTATATTACTTGTGACCCGTCCGCTTGCGGTTTAGCTAATCGGCAAACAAGTTTTTGGCACTATTACCGGGGACTAATGGCAAGATTGTTTGTGGTTGATTATCTTTATTGTGTGATTGGTTATGCTTAAGTTTCTTCTAGCATTTGTAGTGATAGTTATAGGTAGTAGTAGGAGTATTTATTTAGTTCATTTCTCTTGATAAGTTCGATACTTTTGTTTTCGATTTGAACACGTAGGTAACCCTTGACGCATGTGAGGAAGACTAGAAGTTATTTTGGAAGAGGTTACTGAAGAAGACTCCAGTTCAGGAGAAATTGAAAACACACTGGAGATTCATCAACAACCCCAGCTACTTCTACCACTAACAATTGAAACAAAACAACAAGAAGACATGGCGAAAGAAGATGAGAATGAAATATATATGCTGGATGACTATTTGGATAAAGAAGGGCAAACTTTTCATTTGAGTATCTGGCTACTCGACATTCAAGCCAGGAATTTTGAAATCAAGCCCATTATGATTCAACTACTGGGGATGATTAGTACTTTTGAAGGAAATTTTAATGATGATCTGAATGAGCATTTGACCAAGTTTATAGAGGTTTGTGAGTACTTTAAACAAAATGGGGTTACTAATGATGCGCTGCAGTTGAGATTGTTCCCTATGTCTTTATTTCACAAGGCAAAAACGTGGTTGAATTCTTTGCCAGAACACTCAATTAAGGCTTGGGATGAGCTTCTGTCTAAGTTCAAGGCTAGATTTATTCTAAGAGGCAAACGTGCTACATTAAGGGGTGAATTGCTTTCTTTTGAGCAATATCCGAATGAGTTATTCTATGACGCTTGGGAAAGATTCAAGGATATGTGAAGAAATTGTCCAAATCATGAGCAAAAGAAATATGTTCTAATAGAAGCCTTCAGAAATGGGTTGAATGATTAGACAGTGACAATGTTGAATACCGCTTTAAATGGAGGAATCGGAAAGATGAAGGTAAATGAGCTATACGAATTGTATGAAGAGGTGGCGTCTAGCACTATGCAATAATATAACAAGAGAAGGCAAAGTTCTGGGAGATATAAGGAGCCTAGCTCTTCATTATCAAGAGATATTGCATTGCAACTTAAAGCAATCTCTAAGAGATTTGACAATCTAGAACTGCAGATTAAGAAGGGAAATGCTGCAGGAGTTCATGCACTTCAGGCTCCAGGATACACTTGTGACCACTGTAATGAGGAATATCATTCTGATTAGTGCCTATACACCTTGGAGACAGTCAATTATATGAATAATGTGCAGTGAAGACCACAAGGAAGCCCTCACTCTCAAACCTACAATCCAAATCTGAGAAATCACCTAAATTTCTCATGGCGAAATGGGCCAAGTTTGAACCCGCCACAAATATTATCATCTAGTGCTAAACAAATGGGACCTCCTAGTTTTCTTGGCCAACCACAGCAGCATCAACTGCAACAGCAGCATCCTCAGAAGGAGGAATCCAAAATTGAGAAGATGTTTGCTCAGTTATTAGCAAATCAAGAATCTGCAAGGGCTAAGAATAAGGCAACATTCTCTCTCCATGAAACTGCTATCAAGAATCTCGAGGTTCAAATGGGTTAACTGGCTTCATAAATGAATGTACTCACAAGAAATAGCCTTCTAAGTGATACCATTCCTAATCTAAAAAGGGATGGTAATAAAGAGTATAAAGCTATCAGTTTGAGAAGTGGAAAGTAACTACTGACATTCTGAGGCCTAGTAAGACCAACAAAGACATCACTAATAGTTTGAGAAGAAGGTGCTATAGTAGAAAAGGAAGAGACCAAGAAAAGGAAACAAACAGAAGAAAATCTCAATGATGTGGTTCGAGGGAAAAATATAAAGGGTGAAATGGTTGATGATAAAAAGAGGAAGACAACTCCTCCTCCTTTTACACAGATGCCGCCACTTCCCTTTCCTCAAAGGTTTAGGAAGAAAGATAAAGATGTCCAGCTCAAGAAATTTATGGACATGTTTAAGCAATTACACATCAACATCCCATTTACTGAAGTATTAGAGCAAATGCCTAAGTATTCTAAGTTTCTCAAGGACATTCTCTCCAAGAAGAAGAGATTTGGTGAATTTGAAACAGTAGCCCTTACTGAAGATTATAGTGCCATCTTGCAGAGAAAACTTCTACTCAAATTGAGAGATCTAAGTAGTTTTTATATTCTACACAACATAGGCAAACACTTCAATAGAAAAGCTCTATGCAATTTGGGAGCAAGTGTTAACCTAATGCCTCTAGCTATTTTCAATTGGTTAAATTTGAGTGAAGTAAGGCCAACAACTGTTACATTGCTCTTTGCTGACAGAAGTATCTCACATCTAAAAGGGATTATAGAAGATGTCTTGGTGAAGGTAGATAAATTCATATTCCCAGCTGATTTTATTGTGTTAAACTGTGAGGTAGATTGGAACATCCCTATTATTTTAGGACGGCTATTCTTAGCTACTATAAGAACTCTTATTGACGTGGAAAAGGGTGAGATCACCATGCAAGTAAATGATGAGAAGGTGATATTCAACATGAATCAAGCCCTAAAGTTTCCAGATGATTCTCTTCATTGTAATTTTATTGATGTGATTGACTCTACAGTGTAAGAGGAGTTGAGTAACTCTTTGATCGAAGATCCCTTGGAAGCATTGCTGATTGGAGAAACGAGTAGTATTGATGGAAAGGTTGAAGTGAATGTAGAAATGATGAGTATTGAAGCATTTCCTTATAAAAAAGGTAAGACTTTTGAGCCTCTTGATATAACTAGTGCTTTAATCTCTCCACTAAAGCCTTCTGTTGATGAATCGCTGGTATTGGAGTTGAAGACTTTACCTTCGCATCTCGAGTATGCCTACTTGGTTAGTTCTACTACATTACCTGTGATTGTTTCTTCTCAGTTATCCACATTGCAAGAGGAGAAACTATTAAGGGTCTTGAGAAACCACAAGAAAGCTATTGGGTAGTCCATTGCTGACATAAAAGGGATCAGCCCTTCTTTGTGCATGCACAAGATTTTATTAGAAGATGGTCACAAACCTTCCATTGAGTATCAAAGGAGATTAAACCCGGTTATAAAAGAGGTGGTCAAGAAAGAGATCCTTAAATGGCTTTTCGCTGGCAGGGTATACCCTATTTCTGATAGCTCATGGGTGAGCCCAATTCAATGTGTCCCTAAAAAAGGCATTATAACTGTAGTGGCTAACACCTGAAATGAGCTAATTCCAACTCGTACTGTGACTGGGTGGAAAATTTGCATGGACTATCGAAAGTTAAATGCAGCAACTAGAAAAGACCATTTCCTGCTGCCATTTATTGATCAGATGTTGGATAAACTTGCTGGGCAAGAATTCTATTGTTTCTTGGATGGATATTTAGGCGACAACTAAATCATAATAGCCCTAGATGATCAAGAGCAAACAACCTTTACTTGCCCATATGGCACGTTTGCTTTCGAAAGAATGTCATTTGGTTTTTGCAATGCTCTAGCAACATTCCAAAGGTGTATGATGGCTATCTTTGCTAATTGAAGTGTTCATGGATGACTTCTCCGTTTTTGGAGATTTTTTTAATTGCTGCTTAGATAATTTGGCAGCTGTTTTGTAAAGATATGAAGAAACTAACTTTTTTGAATTGGGAAAAATGTCACTTCATGGTGCAAGAGAGCATTGTCCTTGGTCATCGAGTATCCAAACAGGGCCTAGAAGTTGACAAGGCAAAGGTATCTGTTATTAAGCAATTGCCTCCACCAACAAGTGTAAAGGGTATTAGAAGTTTCTTGGATCACGAGGGATTCTACCGTTTCATTAAAGATTTTTCTAAAATCACTAAGCCTTTGTGCAATTTGTTGGAGAAAGATAGGGAGTTCAAGTTCAATAACGCTTGTATGAACTCTTTTGAGGAGTTAAAGAAGAAGCTTACATCAGCACCAATTTTAGTGGCACCTAATTGGGAGCTACCCTTCATCATTATGGCAGATGATAGTGATTTCACCATTGGAGCAGTGCTAGGACAAAAGGCAGAAAAGGTCTTCCATTCCATCTACTATGCAAGTAAAACCCCGAATGACACTCAACTTAACTACACTACTACAAAAAAAGAATTACTGGCAGTGGTGTTTGCTTGTGAGAAATTCTACCCTTATATTGTAGGCACCAAAGTGACTATCTATACAGACCACTCTGCTCTAAAGTACCTATTTACCAAGAAAGATTCCAAAGCACGCCTGATTCGCTTGGTCCTTTTGCTTTAAGAATTTGACTTGGAAATTATTGATAGGAAGGGCACTGAAAACCAAGTAGCGGACCATCTATCTCGATTGAGTAGTGGAGCTCAATATGATTATTGCTAAGAGATCAATGCAGCTTTCCCCAATGAATGCCTGTTCTTTGTGGATGACTCGACTACTCTATAGTATGCAGATCTGGTTAATTATCTGGTTTGTGGAACTTTGCCACTAGACCTTAACTCCCACCAAAAGAGGAAATTTGTTCACGATACAAAGATGTACTTCTGGGAAAAGCCTTATTTGTTCAAAAGATGTGCCGATCAAATGATAAGAAGATGTGTTTCAAAAGTTGAGCAACAAGATATTTTAGAGTGTTGTCATTCTTTTGCCTATAGCGAGCACTTTGGAGGAGAGAAAACTGCTACCAAAGTCCTTCAAAGTAGTCTCTATTGGCCTTCACTATTTAAAGATGCATATGCCTTTGTGATTCGATGTGATTGGTGTCAACGAGTGGGAAACATATCAAGAAGGAATGAAATGCCTTTGAATAATATTCTGGAAGTTGAACTCTTTGATGTAGGGGGGATTGATTTCATGGGCCCTTTTCCAAAGTCTCTCAATCAAGAATAATTTTGGTCGCTGTAGACTATGTCTCGAAATGGGTTGAAGCTACGACATATGTATCTAGTGATGCTAAAATTGTGATCAAATTCTTAAAGAAAAACATCTTCACTAGATTTGGAGCACCTTGAGCTATCATTAGTGACGATGGCTCCCACTTTTGCAATGATCAATTTCAAGCCCTGATGAAGAAATATGGTGTAAAGCACAAGGTAACTTTGGCTTATCACCCTTAGTCAAATGGCCAAGCTAAAATATCCAACTGAGAGATCAAAAGTATTCTCAAGAAGATAGTAGGTGCAATAAGAAAAGATTGGTCATTAAAACTGGATGATGCTCTTTGGGCCTATAGGACAGCGTATAAAACTCTGATTGGGATATCTCCCTATCGGTTGGTGTTCGGAAAAGCATGTCATTTGCCTGTAGAATTGGAGCATGGGGCTTATTGGGCCATAAAAAAGCTCAATCTTGACTTTCAAGCTACTGGTGCAAAAAGGCTCCTTCAACTGAATGAATTAGAGGAATTTCACCTTAATGCCTATGAAAGTGCAAGGCTTTATAAGGAAAGGACCAAGAAGTATCATAATCAGAAAATTATACCTATGGTCTTTGAAGCTGGGCAAAAAGTGTTACTTCACAATTCAAAATTGAGACTATTTCCAGGCAAACTTGAATCACGCTGGTTGTAACACCTTACGTTTACGACCTTATATTGTGCCAAGTTAAGACATTCGGAAGCGCAATTTAAGGTTACCGGGTTGAAAAACCTGAATTTGAAAATTTCTTTTCCCGCATTACTATTCACTGTAACCTTATTCTTGGCATAACTTTGGGAAATCATAACTAATTCTAGAAAAATCAAAACAAGGTCGTTCCAAGTCTCACTCGAAGCCCTTAACATCATCTATCAAGGAAAAATGACCTCAGGTTCCACTTTAATCAGAAACGCATCCGTTTTTAATTTCAAAAAGTACTATTCATTTGGTCATTTTTCTATTTTCCAGGATTTTTGCCCAACTTTGAAAAAGCATAACTTCTTGCACAGAGCTCTGAATGTGATGCTTTACCACTCATTTTAAAGGGAAAAATAAAATCTATTTGCATGCCAAATTTCAGGGAAAAAGTCAACTATTTGACCAGGGTCTTTGTTGGTCAAATTTTGGTCAAATCTAGACCATTTTTATCCCCTTTTTCACTGATTCTAACAGCATTTCGTTTTTCACTATAATCATACCATAATCACATATAAAGCTACTCTATCATTAATATACATTCAAAAAGGTTATCACATCATGTGTTCATGATCATAGTATGCTTACATGGCTTGAAAGAGAAAGGTTCAAAACCGTATAATACATTACATAATTCATAACTTCCTCAAGCCGTGATTATTTCCTTTCCCTTCTCCTTAGCAGTAGTGGCACCTAGGATATCATGTTATAGGAGGAATGAGATTTCATAGAAATCCTAGTAGCATTGAACATACAACCATCAAGTCAACATGCATAAGATGTCATGCTACATGCAGTAAAATAACATTTCTAGTCTTTATGCCATGCTATAACCATTCTGTATCCATGTCATCATATCATGGAGCATATAATCATTCTGGTCAAAACTCAAACATGCAAGAGCCAAGGCATACATTGCAAGGAGTTCACATCATCTGGGCATAAACATTCTCATGGCACATAAACACACATAGCAGAAACACCAAATGCATATCAACAAAATAATTGCAATTCATGCTACCTCAGTTCCACGCTTAACGTTTCCTCCTTGTTCCCTTGCTTGATATCCTCTTAAGTTTCCAGAAGAATTGCCTATCAACCATACAGTAAGGGTATGGTAAATTCCATATCCAGTATACCATTCTTTCTCAATATAATGCTACCCTTGTGCCTTTCAATTTATAATTTCTGTATACCTTTCCTAAACCTTTGACCTTGGTTTGACCAAGCCTTAATCCTCAATTAAGGTCTTGGAATTCTTCCTTAATCCATGATTAATCATGCTTTCTTGGTTAATCACTAACCCTTAATCCTTAATCCAATACTTAATTAAGGTCCTCAAGTCACATAGTCATAATCCTCTAAGATTAAGTCACTAATCCCTCTTGGATTAACCATTAATCATTCTCTACTCAACACGATTAATCCTTAATCCTTCCTTAATCAACATGATTAACTTTTAATCATTCCTTAATCAACATGATTAATCATTCTCTGATCAATATGATTAAGCTTTAATCAATCCTTAATCAACATGATTAACCGTAATTAATCATCCTTCAATTATCATAACTAATCACTAGTTAATTAGGGTAGCTAACCTTAATCACTTACTAATCCTTAATCAAATAACATAATTAATCTTAGCTATCACTAAACCATAATTAATCAAGGTAATTAATCCTAATCTTCATCAAATAAATAATCAACTAAAAATAATTAACACTTAGGGAGGTAAACATACCTTAATTAGCTCTTAATCGGCGATTAGAGGTGTCTAAGCTTGCTTTCTCTCTTTCTCTCTCTTCTTTCTTCCTTTCTCTCTCCTAGAACTCAAGAACACAAAATTCCCTCTCAACAAAACCTCTTGGCCGAATTTGTTCATGGAAGGGGGGGTATTTATAGGCTTTGATATTTCAAAATGCCAAAAATGCCCTTTAGGAAAAAGATGCGATCTCGGCCGTCCATTTTTTTCTACTTTACACATGGACAAATCTTAGGGCACACACCATAAGAAGTTGACACATGGATAGACACCTAATCACCATGTGATTTTCATGTGGAAATAAAATATTATTTTATTGTTTTGTCTCTTATTTCCCTTTATGCCCTTGAACAATTTGGAAAATTCCAACTTTGTCCTCCCCTTCTAATTTTGGCCAAATTATTGCTCTTAATATTGGAAAAAAATGACTCATCCAATAATCAGTGCAATCCACTGATTATTTGTGTATTTCCAGTCCGATTTTCCAACAATCCTGTCCAATTTACTGTCACAAAAATTTTGATTTCAACACCTCATTAAATTCCCCTCATTCCAAGGGTAATCCATGATTTTTCTCAAGTTTTATCTCCCTCTATAATTTTCTAATTTTATCCTGTCAAA